ATTCGCCCTTTGCGGCCAGACCTGTTGAGGCAAAGCGCGCATCCAAAGGTTTTGCTTCTTAGGAGGGTTTAAGAAATTTTTTTCGATCTTAAAAAATTACGATTTTTTGTCCGTAACCGTTAAACGCATAGGGATGCTGTTGGGGCGACGCTCAAGGGGTAGATCCGTAGATAGACAACCTAAGTGAACTTTTAGGGCTTTAAAAATTGCACTTTGGTTAGGACAATAGTAGTTTGCCTGATTTGAGTTGAAAACAGTTAAGGGTTGGATTCTATGGGGTGCAAGTTTATTTTGTCAATAAGTCCTAAAACAAAAAATATAAGTACTGGTTTATAATAAATATTAGTTTTAGAGCCAATTTAATATTTTTCTGGTTGATAAAAATTTATGTTTTCACATTGTACATCCCTTAAAACTGACATCAAAGTTTGAAATTTAAAAAATCAATTGCGTGCCAAATGAAGTAGCTTCATGGGGACTTGAAACGGTACCATAAATCTGGATAATGTTCTCGAAAAATCTTCATGTATTTGTGCCAATGGTAGATCGGACTTAAAAATACAAAACAAAGAAACAAAAGAAAGCATTAAATTATTAATATAAAAATTACAAAATATTTATTGGACATTTCCGGTATGGGCGGTTATTTCGAATATTAAAATACACAAACTGGCTGCTTGGTTGTTAATAAGCGTTAATTTTCCTTTGTTTAATAAAACGTTTAAGAAAAATATAAATTTTTATTCCGAGCAGTTGGTAGGTATGTTTTACAGAACAATTGAATGTTGACGATTCTCTAAAAGTTGTATGAGCGGATAAATGGAGGAGAACAGCAACTTTCTGCTTAAGTAATTAATTAATTAAATAACAGAAAAAAGTTTACATAAATTAATTTTAGTGAAAAAGTAAATTATTAAAGCGAGTAATTAAACTTTAGTTGTAGCCACCCATCAGGCAAAGATCATGCTTTATAGTAGGTATTTGCTTCTCGACTTTCGTGTTCTATATAATGCTAATCTACAATTAATAATAACAATCAAGATTCCTTAATAATAATCATAATAAAATGTGGAACTAAATAAAACCGAACAATCTAAGAGTGAGTCATTTTTCAGTTTGCAGTGTTTCTGTGAGTTAATATGAAACTAATGTGGTAGGAGTGGATGAATTCCAGATTTCTCAGTTCTAAATCAGCAGGAAAACAGCCCTTTTCAGAACGTATAAAGTAATATGTAGGCTTTGGTTGATGATCATTTATCAAAATGAATTTTATTTGAAGGCAATTGATTGAAATAAATGCTTGAAAGATGAATGAGGTGACGAAGAAAAGGATTCAAATTGAAAACATATTGGTAATGGCATATAGGGGTTCTTGATTGTATGTTGGATTGATAATTTAATTGAATTAATCCACTTAAGCCCGGTAAAATAGGAAGTTAATTGCCTTCTATTGACGGTAACTGAATGCAGGCTTCATATTTCCGAATGTTTCTGTGTATTTGAGAAATAAATACTTTTTCATTTCCTGCTGATATTTCACATTGATGTTTGTATTTCGACTGTTGCTAAATAGTTTTTTTAACTAGTTGTGATTTTAAATATGAAATTAGATTTGCACTAATAGGGAATAACGAGCAGATAATGAAGCATGAAAATATGCAGGTGATTTAAATGCGAAGCCACATTAATTTCTATGAAGCTAATAATATTTCCTTAATTCGCATTCAATGTCTGTGTTAATAATTTGTCCAGATCTTAGCCACTTATTTAGTTCATAATAATTGTGTATTTCAGGGATTTTTCTAATTTTATAACATCTTTGTAGGTAATTACAAATAAGGATTTGTAATTTCAACAGACATGTGAGTTTTTCGTCCCCTTTCCCAACTGGTTATCGCACGTACCATTTTCTTTCGTAGAAAGTTTAAAAAGCTAATTTTATTTCGTTTAGTCAAAGTGTATGCTTGTGTGTAATCCTTAAGCGAAAGTATTAAGGTGGTACTGACTAGGCGATTTTAAGTTTTATGCGATATTAGAAGAGTTCTAGAAGTAGCAGAAAATCGTTCAAATATGGCATACAAATAATTTAAAGCAATGATAAAAATTGTAATTTCTTTGGATTATTGTTATTTTATTTAATTAAATCGAATCTAAGAATTGTATGCTCGAAATGGCCCCAAATAAATTACACTGCGAGACAGCTGAGATTACACATTTTCCCAATAGCATTATTAACAGGTAAAGAAATATTTTCAAGGATTTTCTAGTAAACGTTTGAAAGCAAAAGTTGCTTTTAGGAGCTGCAAATTAGTATTAAATCAGGCTCATCAACATTTCAGTTTTTGTGAAAAAAATTCAAGCGGAAATATGACCGAAAGCCAGACCAGGGGGTTGAAAGCATCCAAAACGAGGTCAATGCCTCTTACCAGGCAATAAACAAGGAACCATATAGACTACTGAAAGAATTTTTATGCCCCGTCATCACTTTAAAGCGTAGAAATTCCGAAGCTCGTTAACGTTTTAAGGAAGTTGGAATGGGGGTTAACATATCCAGTTCTTTAAACCGATGTGAAAATGTGCTGCTTCAATTTTCTCTTTACCATTTTGAAAGTGAGCAAGAGGGGAATAAAGTAGATATTTTTAAGGAGCAACTTTATATGGTTCAGAGAGAATCAGACGACATTTATGAAAAACACATATAAACATTATTAATGAKAGTACAAAGTACTGAAAGTGATAAGCCGAAACGGGAGCCATTTTTTATAAAAAAAAACTAAACTGAAGGTTCAAACAATAACCGATCACGGCAGTTGACCTATTTTATCTACGGTCAACGCCCTTTAAAAGTCGACAAATAAGGGAACAGAGATAACGGCCTATCAAAAGGTTTTCCAGCCAATAAGGTAATGAGTTGGAACTGTAATGAATTTATGAACGATGATGTTTGACTCTGTAGGAATTGAGGTTTTTTAGGGAGACGGATTCTTGTGAATGTTAACAAACTTGCCGTATTTAACAAGTTTAGGGTGTTTGTAAGAGCTTCAAGGTGCCGAAGAAGGGTAAATGAGATTTTGTCCAGTTTAGACCAGTTTGGCATCGTTTTTGTGAAAGTGAGTGTAAGTAATACAGATAAAATTAGATCAAAAGTATTTTTTTAAGTGAGAATTGTTGAGCCAAAAAGTTATGAAAAAAAGTTTGAACTGATCTACTTCAGAGGGCTGACAGAATTGGAATTAACGTTACGCCAAAATTTTAGACTCAGTTTTTTATTAATCGTTGTTGCGACTCTTTGGAGGCCTTGGAGCTTGGCAAAAATATTTCCTGAATGCGAAAAATTTGTTTAAAATGCGCTTTAAATTGGCCTGAAAGCGGTTCTTTACAGATTGAGTGAAGTTTCTTTATAAAATTAGCATTGATGACCCCTAGCGGATGGTTTCAATTAAAGTCGGAAAGCCTAGTTAAGTTTTAAAGGGTTAAATTCACCCCAAAGCCAATATGTCTATTGCCAAATCCATAAAACTCGTAATGTGCACTTTTATATCATATTAACATTAAAAATACTCCAATAAATTCAATATCCGAAGCTCATCCGAAAATCGACAATTTTCAGCCCTTTACAGTGGTTTCAATATGAAAACTCTTCAACATATGTGCCTTATTATGGCATTAATTCGCACTTACCATTAAGAATTTGTTGTTTCCGCCCATCAGAGTAACAGGGAAGGTTAATTAGCCCTCTGTGAAAGTGGAGCGGAAATGGAAATACTTCAAGGGGTTGAACAGATAAGGTTTAAGGTCAACGCTCTTGAAAAGGCCAGAAAACAGTAACCCGCAATAAATTTTCAGCTATGTTTTCACCCAAGCGCTAATTTGAAGCCTCCAAATTAGGGTTTTTAAATATAATTCTAACGAATGTGTCTTAAGGGTTTAGAGGCAGTTTTTGTACAGTAGTAGGTTAAAGCGCTTTGAAACTTGAATACCACCCAAGGTAGTTGGTTGGTAGGACTTTTGAGGACTTTTTGGGGATGATATTGAGTGGTTTGCATAGGAATTCAGTTGGGTGTTGTGCCTGTTTGGGGGTTGAAACTTATTCAAAGATAACAGTTTTTTTTGGAGCGTGCAAATCAGTTTTTTCTGTGTGATTTTACTGTAAATGGGTTGTCTGAACTTCACTTTTTTAGGCCGCTGATAACTAGAGCGTTTTCGATTATTTACAGGGGAATTCCACAGGGGTATGTAGGGGAATTGTGTGATTTCCGCCTTTACGGCAGGTTTTTAGGTAAAATTGCTGATGCATTGGGCGAAACTGATTGCTAGGGCTGTTCAGAAATTTAAAAGTTTTTCAAAATTGTTAGGGGCGCTGAGGGATTTGGTTCTGAGTTCTTGGATACTTTAAGTTCTCTGGGTGGGTTATTTTTAAGGTATTGTGGACATGTGCGGTGTGTAACTGTGCAGTTTAAGTGCCTTTTTGCGAGGAGTTGAGTAAGGTTTAAAAAATTGTCCTGCAAGGGGTGGAAATACGGGAAATATCGTCGCCACGTGGAGCGCGGCGTGGCAAGAGCGGGGAATCAACCGCTTGGCTGTATAAACGTCCCTGACGGCTTTTCATGGTGTTTTTTCGCCAAAAAACGAAAGAAAGTGTACGAAAATAAGTAATTATAAAAATTAATTCACTATAGTGCGCACTTATTATTAGGTCGGCAAAAGGCAGCCATTTTGCGACATCACCTCTCGCGTCTCGTCACCTCCGACTTGGCGATTTTCATTTGGTTATTTCGGGTGGTTTCCGTGAATCAAGTTGGTCCTTTTGGACCTTAAAATGTGCCCCGACGTCTGCATTAGCGAATACGTTGGCCTAGATCGGTTTCCCGCCCGTTTCAAGGGTGAAAACCACCCGAATTCGCATTCCCCTCCTGCAAAGTCGCGAATTCAATGTGCGCTTGCCTCTGACGTAAGTGGTCTCTCTCTATCTCTGTCTGTACAATACAAATCACATATTACCGATTTTAAGTGATTCTCGGTTGGTTACTATGCGATAATATGCGAAGTCGGCCAAGACAAGAAAACACTCGGCAGTCAATGTGAAACCGGCTCGCGAATGTGATGTGCTTCATGCGCTAAGTGCGAACTTTTGACCGGATGGATTATGAGGCGTAGTTGGAGTGTAAGTATTCGACGATTTTTTTGTCCATGTCCGTTTTTCAGGGATTTTTCGAATTTTTTACGATTTTTTTTTGCGAATTCTGCAACAGTTAACAAGTGTCTGCGAAAATACGTGGACTATTACATACGCACTTGAGTGTGACACACGAAATTGGAAAAGGAGCAAGGAGCGATTTTTTCCTGTCATCGTTTCCTTATCGCTGGAAAGTCGTTGTTAACATGACTTTGCCTTTAAAATGTTATCAGCCTGCCCATAAAAATTCGCCTTGTCGTCCGAGCAGCCATTTTTTCGCAACTTTTTATTAGATAGTCTCGGTCATGGGAACGACGAGAATTGCCGACTCGCTTGTTGCCAAATTTAAGGTCTAGCAAGTTGGCCCGACTGGAATCTAATTGTGATAGAGTGCGGGGGACGCGTATGTCTGTGTCTGTAGAAGAAGTCAAACAGCCGAAATATTTCGCAAAGCCATTCGCCTTTTTCGCATCTCGAATCAGTTGCCTGTCGTGCTGTGTCTAGTCGAGTGACCAGCGACTTCAGTAACGTCTGCCTCATTTTCGTTCTTTACATTCCACAGTTACTCGCACATTCCCACAGGCCGCCCGATTATTTTTTAAAAATATTTGAATCTAAATCTGATCGGGGCACAGGTGCCCCGTTTTTTTTCAATTCGACATTCAATGCGGATTTGCCCAGTCGGAATCGATGATTCATTTGGGCAAAATTCTTAGTCATCAAATATGAATCAATCGTTTTCAATGCGACTTAATAGCCGTAACAAAAAAGGCACATTTTTGGCATGAGAACTATCGACGCACACTTGATGGACGTCGATTCCCCACACTCTCCAATATGAATTATTTGAAACACCTGAACGGTCTTGCTCAGCTGGTGCAATTGTGCTTGAAAATATTTACATTACGCCCCTGTAGCTTTCTGTTGATGCCCCTGACCTAGGCCAAGACATTAAGATCGCAAAAAAATGCCTCTGACAATATGGCGAATGCTTGGCAAATTTGCGATTTTTTTTGCGCATTTTACTTCACGGGCAACGGTATCGACCCGAATCGATCGCTGTTAAGCTAGAAATTGTGCCAAGCCAGACAGAACATTTGCCTGCCAGGCAGTGGTTCGTGCCGAAATCAAACCAGCCAAAAACACAGTTTGAAAGCACCCAGTAACAAGATGAAAATGGACGCATTTTGAAAAGGTCCCGACTAAATGGTAGTGTAATGAAACAAGTGTAGCGGAAATGAGTTTTTGAATCTCTTACGTTCCCATTCAACACTGTATACTTCCGAACACTCTCTCTGTCTAGGTCTGGCGAAAAAATGTCGTTGAAGAGGTTATTGACTTACCCAAACGATAACAAGTTCACACAGGTCTTTACAATTGGGTGAACATTTCTCTGATAGCACCGGTATATCGTTCGCGTTATACATAGCAGGAGCCATGAACTAGAACAGTCGATTTCAGTCTAGAAAAACGAAATTTTCCAGATTTTTCATTTAGTTCTGACTTGATTCAGTCTTCAATACGTATAACAGTTTTTTGAAACTTTCGACTGCGAATATTTTCTCAGTCCATATCTGTTTTGAATATCTTTTTTATCGCATCGCAACTCTATTCTTGAACAAAATTTATGTTCTAAAATAAGCAAAAAAATTTAACGTTTTGTACAGGGTGTTTAAAAAGTATCATGTTTTCTTGGTCAAAGCTTAAACCTTTCTGCGGGCAATATCGGATATCCCGTGAGAAAAAAGTATACGATGTGATAACCTCATGCCTAGTGCGGAGTATTTTGGATCTTTAATCATCTGTTTATCCGATCCATACGAGAGATATTCATTGTTTTGTTAAAGAAAAGTCCTTTCTGTTATTTCGGTAGTGAATACAAAGCTTAAATATGACTTTAACCGTCAGTTAAAATCGAAGAACCAGAAAATCGATTAACACAATATTGCCGCCTAACTTCGGCGGCTTAAAGGAAACACATATTGAGATTTTTACAGTTTTATCGCCTGTTATATTTTCTGCACGAAAGTTACTTAAACTTTTTATTATTTGCCCAAAAATTACTGTGCAAAATTAGCAAAAAGACTGTGCGAACAACATTTTTTATTACATTTAATCTGATTACTTTTAGTGATCTCAAACAGAACTTTTTTAGAAAGAAATTGACCGAAAAATAATGGTATTTTACATGAAAGTCGATCCAGGTGGTAAAAGGTTTAGGAAAACAGTTTTTTGTGAACGCTTTGTGATAGCTTGATTTGTTGAAAATTTGATATTGGATATTGATCATTTTTATATACGGTTTTTCTTACTTACACCTTAACATGTCATCTTTTATTAATCTTGTTTTTGAAGAAAATGTTTTAACACTGATCAGAATTTTTAAGTACTTTTTCCAGTAAAATATATGTGATTGTGTTAATTGAAACATCAAGTATAAAAGGCAACATAAACTTATAAAAATTATACTTTTTTCCAGATTTTCATTAAATTTCTCTCTTATCTCTCTCTCTCATATTTCGAAGCAAATGTACCTACAACTTTTTTTTTGAAAAATCGTAATGAACTGTAAGTAACAAAATGAAATTTTTTTTCCATGGCAACATCAAAAATATATTTTAAAACAGTCGAAATTCCAATAAGTTAGTCTTTCGTCGTAATTTCTCGATAGTAGTGAGTTTTTCAGGCTCTCAGACCGTCGTGGAAAATAATTAATTTCCTACTTTTTGCAGGCAGACGTGAAACAAAAGACTCGTAGTGTTATTAGAAATTATCATACTGTATAAAAAATATGTTTGGTATATAAAATAAAATACTTAGTTGTTAGTGAGCTTTTGATGCAAGTATTGTAAATGAAATATTTTAAATAATATGCAATGTAATATGTGTGTCATACTTTTTAAAATGTTGATGAAACTTGCTGTATCGAGAAAAATTTCTTGAAAATTTGCGACGTGTTTAATTCTAGAGTCCCCATAAGCAAAATTCAACTATGAAAAGGCAAATTTGTTTTTCCTTCTAATGCAACTCAATTGATTTTTCAATGTAATTTTATATTTTAATTTTGTATTTTTAGATGCAACAAAATGCACGTATTTTGATAGCAATGAGTGAATTCGAAAAACGGTAGATACCTTTTTTGTTTTATGCCCAGTTTACAACTGTAAAAGACCATATTGGGAAACAACTTTCAGCTAAAAAAATAAGCAAAACAACAAATTTAAACACAAGATAAATGCGTTTTTTAACCGGCATTACATATGAACTTATATGGTTCAATATAATGCCTTTAATGTACTTTACTGTACCTTTAATGTACAACATACACCCCATGTGTAAGAATATGTTTTTCTTTATATATGGGGACGATTTCGAACAAACTGATATATAAAAAAATAGTTGGAAGCTGATTTTGAACAATTAATATGATTAATCATTGTAAGCTAAAAATATTCGCAGTTTTAAAGAAAGAAAATGCCTTTGAATGCAATATGTGTCAAGCTGACCCAAGTGCGAGAAATTACATAAATAAAAAATATATACATAAATTGAGGAAAAAGTTACTAAATGACTCGTACTTAGATAAAGACACTTAATAATAATTTGGGCGATTTCCACATCGTAATCCAGAGAAGAAAGCCAAACATATCTAATAATGTTTCGTCTAAATATTAAACTTATTCTAATATCATCAACAATTAACACATATTATTAATATACATTTCGAATATTAAATTAATGTATAAATTCGATTTAGGACGGAGGCCAAATTGAAATAAATGATGTCCAATTAAAGTCATTACTGGGTAATTTAACTGCTTTCATTTTAACCCCGAAATGTTGGATATGGGGAGTGGCAGCTCTAATGGAAAATTAATCTCAAGAGTTGGTTTCATTTAACGTGATTTGTGGTTTGAAATATCACAATGTAAATGAAGGGTCCAAATGTTGAAATTGTAACACTAGAGGAAGAGACAACAGGCACATAATAAATAGGTTTATTTATTTAATTATTTTGATCATATTTCGCTTCTATACATTCACTATTTCTATTGTAATTAGACATTATGGTGGTTGCACAACTTTGAGAAAAGGTTTATTGCTTTTTAATCTAAGTAATACATTTTGCAAGACCAGACTCTTCTCTCAAGGAACTTTTTACATATTTTCAGTGTGTATTTCAGATATTAAGGATTTAGAAATTCGCTAAAATATATCTTCGTAATTTTTTAACGTAAAATTGTACTCTCTTTTATTTTGTTATCAGGAGTTTTCTGTTACTTAACTACATTTCATGCAGACTTCCCTTGAAATATAACGTGAAAATTAACATCCAATGGTTTTATGGAATTTTGAGCCATTAGCAGGGTGAATTTTCAAGTAATCATGTCATCAGGAGATATTATTGAAAGTTGCTTAGTTTTTCTCAGTAGTGAAGGAAACTTGGTCATTTTATACAGATTTTAATACAAGAATTTATAAAATCAAAAACATTCCTCCAGGTGTTTGTAGCGCCAAATAATACAACATGTAAGAAACATTCCGGTTAGCCAGAAATCTACAATCAAATAGAGTTCATAAATCTTCTTTAATTCAATTTTAAAACATTTAATCAATGTAATCATGTGTTTAAAGGTTGTTAAGTTTTAAATCTATTTGCTGAAGTTTTGTCAGCCTTTATTCACCTATATTTATTTTTTCCCTTATACTTAACCACATTAGCTATCGTCAACTTCATCGTCGGTTATCGTCAACAACATTATCATCCACTTTCTACATGTTTTTCATTTTAATTAAACACCACATTTTGTGTTTGCATTGTTAAAAGCGTTTGTATTTAATGTAATATTGTACTTCCTCATGTCCTCAAAAACGACATTAGACATTGCTATTACTGGTTTACCTGACGGTTATTTAATATCTGTTCAGTTTAATATAAATCCGACAAATTGAGGTAAACCTTACATACAACTTGTTTCATAAACAAT